AAATAACACGGCAGCAACTCGCGCTCATACATACATGTCGGTGCGTCTTTGTTCATGTGTACCCGGCACGCTCGCCTGCTACCCGTGTGTTTTGTAGCATGGGCGGTGTGCAACACCAGCGTCAAGACAACGTCTTGTGCTTTTTGCCTACCCTAGCCGGACTACGCCTTGGGCCCATTGTCTCTGGAAATGGGGCGCGCATGCATCACACGTGGACGCCAGGTGCTCAAGGCCAAGCTCTGCTGTGTGGTGGTCGCACGTCTCCTGCTCGGCCCTGCACAGATGCCTGGTTGCACCATAACACGGATCAATGGCTAGCACTCTCGGTCGACAACAAGCAGCTCTTGGCCCGTTGGCGTCATACGTGCGTCTTCCTAGCGGATTCTACCCAGGGTTACCTGCTCATTGGTGGGCAAACTGCTTCGCGAGAGCGGCCATCTCCCCGCAGCTGTGACGACCCGGTCGTCTGGGTCACCTTGGATGTGCCCAATGCCACTGCGAAAGTGGAAACCTTGGCTGTGACGTCGGCGCCAGGTGCTTCACGGCACAGCGCTGGGCTAGCGCGCCATTCACACTGCTGCGCCGCGCTGGCCGACGCTTCCGCCGTGATCTACGGTGGCCTCGGTGCGTGCTTGAGGTGCCCGACATTTGCAGCGTACGTGCAGAAACCCTAACGTGCTTGCACTCGTGCATCTTCCCGGCAGATGAGACGGGTCACATCCTGAGCGATGTTCTGCGAGTTCAAAGGGCGAGCGACAGCGCTACCCTTGTGGTGCAAAAGCTGCAGTTTCAGCCCGCCCTTCCTCCCCGCTTTGGCCACAAGGTGAGGATAATGAATCTTTGCCCTTCTTGCAAAGCCCTGAGCAAAAGGCCATGCTTATCTGCTTGCCTGTCCAATACCACAAGCTTTTGCATGCCATGTTATTGTCAAATTTATTTCATGGGATGGTGCGCGCTCGCCTGGCTTGTGTACTCAGGCAGTTCAGATTTCCAGGAATCGTATCCTCGTGGTCGGAGGATGTGGTGAGACCATCGTGCCGTGGCACGAGCAAGTGATTCTACTCGATCTGTCTGGCGCACGCCCGACATGGGGATATGTTGAGCTCAAGGTTGGTATGTGCCCCAGAGGAGAAGAGGGCCTGCTTTCTGTCAACCAAAACATTCTCATGAGATCTTTCTGGTGCAGGTCAGCGCAGACGTCGCCACGGCCACCATGTTGATCAACCACAGCGTTGCCGCTGTCGAAGACCAGGTTTATATCACCTGCGGTGGAGGAAACTGCTTCTCCTTTGGTACCCATTTCAATCAGCACATGCTCCACGTGTCTGCGACCGATTTGCTCGCGGTTTCTCGGCCTAGTGTTCCGAGTAGGTGCTGCGCTGTGCGCTGTGCGCTCTGGTGCCGTGCTCACCTTGCGGATGAGACATGTCCTTTGCTTGCCAATGACTCTCCCCTCATGACCTGCCAATCTTGCTCATAGTCACGACGAGCCACACACTGACTGAAGGGGCCTTTGCAGTGCGATTAACCGAGCGCCAGCCTTTCCTCGTGCGCGACTGTGCCTTTGGTGTGGCCACCGCCTCGTGGACAGCCGAACACCTCTCGAGCCTAGTGGGAGACCGCGAAGTGTCGGTGCATGTGGGCGAAGACTGTAACATGGACTTTACCACCCGCAACTTTCGGTGTGTACAAACGCCTCGCCAAACCACGATTGGACTCCCCCTTGCGGCTGCTTCTTGGCTCAACGGCACTTGTGCGCCGTCCCTCACATGGCTCGTGTCCAATGTGGTATTCACAGTTTCGAGGTCGTGACCATGCGTGACTTTTTAGGCCGCGTGTTTCAAGAGCAGCCATCACGGTGCGTAGCAGAAATGCGGGAAGCCTATTTTTTGGGGGCGAGACCGAACACATGCGTACAGGGAATGGTTGAATCATTTTTCTTTTCAACTTTGATGAATCGACGCGCTGCGCATGCATGCTTCCCATGACAGCTCACTCACAATTTATGTGGGATCGCCCCTTCCGTTTGTTTATTGATTTGGCCGAATCTAGGCCCATGTACCTGCGAAGCATGGGAAAGAATTTTCGCAAGGATGTGAGCAACATTGAGCAGACCTTTCCTGAGGTGGCCGCTGAATTTGCATTACCTAGCTGCGTGCCATCATGGGTCAGTTTGCTGGGCCCTGTGTGCCTTCATGCCTCGTATGCCGTGGCAGTCACCTGGCTAATGCGGGGGAACCGTTCGCACTATAGATTATGGGCGAAAAGCTCTTCAGCACGGCCTTGAGGGTGAGCTCGCCCGGCGTACAGCTCTGGACGCATTATGATGTCATGGACAACGTGCTCTGCAACGTGCGTGGGCGCAAGCGGGTGGTCCTGTTTCCCCCCGAACAGGCAGGCAATCTGTACTTGGAGGGCTCGTCGAGCCGGGTTGTTGACATTGAGCGACCCGACCTCGAGGCCTTTCCTCGCTTTGCTACGGCCATGGCCCATGCCCTGGAGCTCATTCTCGAGCCAGGTGACATGCTTCACATCCCAGGTGCGTTGGCTTTGGACTGATTGTACACTCAGTGCAGGGTGTCGGGCAGACATGTTTGCGGCGCGTGCATCATCTGACCTGACTGCTGACCCGCTGCACGGTATCACAGCATTGTGGTGCCACAACGTCCGAGCTTTGGAGCCCTGCATTTCGGTCAACGTGTTTTGGAAGCACCTGGATGATGCAGCCCTGTATGCATCGAAGGACCTGTACGGCAACAAGGATGTCAAGCCCGCTGCCGAGGCGCTGCGCCTCGCGCATGATGCGGCTGAACGCTTGCAAACCTTGCCGGCCGACCACGCTGCGTTCTATGGTGCCTACGCGACCGCCCTTCTGCAGCCGACCAACCCTTGAGCATGCTTGTCCTCTGTATGAGGCCAACTCTTGGCAAACCGCGCAGAGCTCCACCCACGTGCTGTTTCCTCTCCCTCTCTCCCTCTCTTTTCATGGGGAGTGCAAGTAGCATCCAAAGAAAAATTGACTTGACATCTGTGAAGCAAGACCAGCATTCGCTGCCAGCGTGCATGCATGCACGGGTGGGAGTTTCAAAAAGGAGTCGAGGCGTTGACCATGTCTTGTCGGCGTACGAGGCGATATCGACTCGTATCACGTCCGAATAGGACTCGTTGAGGATGTTAAATGAGATCCTGTGTGACCTGGTTTGTCGCCGGTTGCTGGGCAGATGGTGCGTGCAGCCATTGCCTCCATGTTCAAGAACAGACATCAAGCAAGGTAGGTGAAAAGAAAAAAAAAAACAGAAAAAAGGGTCCGCAGCTCGTTGCCATTCTGATTGGCTCCCTAACCCTAACCCTTGAGGTGAGGTGGTGCAGTTTGGGGGAGAGTCATTTCCACGAGCCGGTTGCTGTGCAACATCCAACCAGCGGGCACCCAAGCCGACCGTTGCGAGCAAATGAGCGAGCTCCTTCTGCTGCGGACCCTTTCAAGCAATCCTTGCCTCGCTCACACGACTCCTGCCGCCCGCCCGAGCAGCCCTGCGTCCCAACGCTGCAACGCTTGCCCAGTTTGGCGCAGCGAGAAGACTTGCCACGAATGAAACGAGAGCTTTTCGGGGCAACGAGCGCGCTCATCATCCCCCGGCTCTCTTGATCTGCTGCTGTGTGCCTCGCTCTCACCAGAGGTTTGCCCCCCAGCTGTTGACTGGGGCCTGCTGACTCGGAAAGCATTAAAGAACAAGTGCCTCTCCTTGTTGCTTGCAGCACTGGCAGATCACTCTTCGTCTTTTTGTGTGGCACCGACTGTGACCCGACTCGCGTGCCCGTCTTCTTGTGGACAGCTCCCGTCACCTCTGGTCGGCTGGCAGCCCAAGCCCATCTATCCATTGCTCTTCACCCCAGTGCCAGGCTCAGGCCACGGCGCGATGGCCACACGCTGGCCCCTGGCGGGGCCACTGCTCGTCCTGGTGCTGGCAAATCTCGTTCCTGTGCTGGGTCAGACTTTTGATCAAGCCATTATTTCGGCTTCTCCTCAGTTTCCAAATCACTCTCGAATTTTGGGAGCTCTTCTGCAGCAGGCTGATTTGTTTGCCCAGCTGACCAACCTGACTGTTTTCATGCCCACGGACGCAATCTATGAGAGCTTGCTCAACCTCGATTATTCCGAGCTGGAAGTTCTCCAGGCCCACGTGGTGCCCAATCGCACCATCACTGGCCTGCAGATTCGCAAAGAAGTCACTTTCCAAACTCTCAATAACAACGTCTTTAACACGACACCCACCGACAACTGCACCGCCCTCATCAGTGGCACCAACTTGACCATCGAACTACACGGCAAGGGACAACGTCACGGCCCGGTCTACTTTTGGGCCCTATTGGAGCGCACCGCGCTCCTGAACCTGCCGGTGTGTGACTGCTGCGAAGCTACGCCAAGCCCTGCCCCACCGTCCACGAGCGAGGAAGATAGTGGCAGCGGGGCACCGTCAACTCCAGCCAGCACCTCGACCCCAACTGCAGTGTCGCCGACCACGACAGACAGAGTGGGGAGCGAACCGACAACTCTGACGTCCACGTCAACGGCTAGCTCCACAACTACCTCCTCATCTACGTCCACGTCCACGTCTACGTCATCCTCCACCTCCACCTCCACTTCAACCTCCACTTCAACCTCCACTTCAACCTCCACTTCAACCTCCACTTCAACCTCCACTTCAACCTCAACATTCACCTCGACCTCCACTTCAACCTCTACCTCTACCTCTACCTCTACCTCAACATTCACCTCGACTTCGACCTCCAGCACTTTGGACTCTGGTATCGGTGGGCCTGGAGGCAACCCGGGTGGGACGCTCTTGCCACCGTCACAAAATATCACCTCTTCAATAACAATACCCACCTCCTCATCAACCAGCACATCGACCATAACCACAACCACAACCACAACGACCACTACGCGGCCCCCAAGCACCACTTCATCGGTTTTGAGGAATACAATACGGACAACTCGGCGTCCCCTCACGACCACCACTCAGCAACCTACCACTCAGCGCCCTACCACGACCACCACTACTACGCAGCGCCTTACGACCACCTTGCAACGGCAATTCACAACCTTGGCTCCAACCACGGCAAGGGCCCAGACAACCCGAGCATTTAGCACAACCCTACGGCGTGATACATCGCGTGCCCCAGCCACCACAACCCCACGCCGCTTTGAGACCACCCGACCGAGGGGTAACGGAGATGGCGGCGGGAATCAGAATGACGATTATGAAGATGATGATGAGAACGGCAACGGCAACGGCAATGGCAATGGTGTGAGCACAACGGGTCCCACACTGACAACCATTGTTGGCAACACTGCCAACGTGGAAACTGCCGCGTTTGCCAGTGCCATGGGAGATGACGATGGCTTGGCTATTTGGTTTGGTGCGTTGCCCGGGCTTTCCTTCCCGTGTGATATGTCCCGCTCGCATCCATGTGCCCATGCGACGCTCATGGGTTTTCATGACTCAAATGGCAACTGCTCCGATTCTGGAATTGCCCTTCTCCTATACAGGTGTTCTTGTATTCCTGTTTCTTCTCAGTTGCTGTCTCCTTTGCTGCTTGGCGGCCGTTTCCGGTTTGTGTTGCATTTTTCTGTGATCCTTGCCGTAGCAAGACTAGAACGTTCGAACCTCACCATACCGTGCATTGCCTTGCCTATGTACCCATACAGCTTGGCGCTCCGGACTTGCTGTGCTGGGCGGCGTGGCGGATTCATCGGCGAGGTATACAACGCACGCTCTTCCATGTTCGCTTTTGCTTTGAAACTCGTCCTCACTTTGTGTGCTGGTTCTGTTTGACCACAGTATGAGCGTTGCCTCGAGCGTCTCAAGCTTGTCCAGTATGGACGAATTTGAACTGGACGATGTTCCGATGGCTTACGACCACGCACCGGGCTTGTCCAACCCCGCCTGGTCGAACGTGGGTGTGCGCGACAGTCGCCAATTCTCAGCACCTGTGCTTCCCACAACCATGGCTATGGGGCCCTATCGCTCTGCGGGTGCACTCGAGACTTCTCCGCGCAGTCCTCCTCAGATGGAGGCCGGTGCTCTCACTGGCATGACGGTGAACCGAGGATTCTCCTCAAACGCTCTGTATGGCGTGCATCGTGCACCGCCTCGTCGCTCAAGTACGGCCAGTCAAGTTTTCCTTCCTTGAGTTTGCTCATGCCACCGGATAACTCCTCACAACCAGCACTCATTTGGCTGCGTTATGTGTTTTGCTGGTAGGTGCGGCTGCACCCCCTCTGGTCGTGCCTGCTGGTGCACCCGTCTACGACCAGCGCACCATGCCCGCATATGACGCAGCGCACCAGGCCCCGACCCCGATGCCGCTCGTGGGCACAAGCACGCCGGCCGTTCGTTCACCCGGCGTCCAGGTCCTGACACCCGCACCAGGTTCGTTTGTCTGTTTTCTCGCCCTTGGTTGAAACTAGCCTGGTGCAAGCACAGGTTGAGTTCGAGAATGTGGTCTGAAAGAACATCTTCATTTTTTTTAGGTCGGCCGCGACCTTCTCAAGCACCACTCTACTCACGGCCGCTGGTTTATGAGAAAGCCGTGACGCCACCGTGGCACAGGGCCGATTTCCCCGCCAATTTTCAAGGCGGTGCACGTCGTGAGAATACATACGAGCGACCTGTGGTCAGGGCGGGACGCCCCTCTTACTTTCGAGAAACCACATACGCCGTTCCACCAGGCACGCGTCAAGGGCAAATACTGGATGCGCGGCGGCGTCCCAGCGAACATGTTTATGACACGGCCCATATGCGTTCGAACATGCGTCGCTCGAGCAGCACCATGCCCCTGTCGCTTGACGAACCGCGCAGTGCCCGCGAGAGTCTGGTCGGGCGAACTTATTTGTAAATGTCGACTTGAGACGGGAGCATGGACACACGCTCGGCACTGATGAGTGAATAAAACGTGCTGTACGGCAAATATTTAAACAAGTGGTTCCAACAATTGAGTGTTGCAGGTTGGGGTTATTAGTTGGCTTGTCTGGTCTGAGCGCGCTTGGGGTCCAGGGAAAAGGCCATCCAGTCAATCGATCAATTTCAACAAGGCAAAGAGGCGCGCGCGGCGTGGCAGGTCTAGGAAAGTACTAGACCACCTCTTGCCTTGCAAAGGGGTGTGAAGTGCCGCGCAAGATGAAAAATCTGATACTTTTAGGGTTGAAAAGGTCAACACGGCACATTGGAGAGCCAAGGGGAAAGATAATGTAGGACCATCGCCCAAGAGAGGGCTGATGAAGACATGGCCGAAAAGAGAAGAGAAGAGAAAAAAAAGGGGGGGGGGGGGGGGGGGGCAGAGTGTTGATGCCGTACATGGCTCGACAACACCAGAGACGGTACCACATGCAAGGTCAGCAGAAGAGGAAAAGGAGATGGGAAGGCGACGAAGAAGATGGGGGACGAAAACAATAACCGAAACAGCTAGACAAAAAACGGGGCACCGCACTCAGCGGGGGCTGGGCTTGAGACACGGGCCGCCGACCGGATGCACCGAGCGCTTATCGGCGGGTGTAGCGAACAATGGGCTCGGTCGGCGTGTGAATCATGGTGGTGTAGTTGATTGGCGGGAGCTTGCCCGAAACCATCTCCAACTTGTACTTGCGGAGGATGGTGCTCATGATGCAGCGAATCTGTACTTGCGCAAAGCCGAAACCAATGCAACGATGACGACCGGCGCCGAAAGGCACCCACTTGAACTTTCCACCTGCAATACCATGGCCACATGATGTTAGAATAAGATGCGCGTGCGGGGTTGGGCTGTGGACGGCAAGAGACATTGAGCAAGACCACTGACCCTTGGTGATCTGTTCACCTTCGGTGACGACGAGCTTGCCGTCCTCCTCCTTGAGGAAGCGGTAAGGGTTGAAGGTGTTGGGGTCTTCCCACTCGTCCTCAAGACGGCCGTTCACGGTGGGGCTCACGCAAACCTGCGAGCCCTTGGGGATAACGTATTCGACGCCGTTGACGGTGACCTTGTAGTCCTCACGGGCACGGCGCATAATGCTCATGATCGGGGGGCGGAGGCGGAGCGTTTCGCGGATGCAAGCCCAGAGGAGAGGCATTTCGTTAATGTGCTCGTAGCTGAGGGGTCCTGGGCGGCGCTTGAAGAGCTCGACTTGCTCCTGGTAGAGCTTCTCCTCCAGACCGGGGGTCGTGGTGATGAAGCAGGTCAACCATGACGAGACGGTGGAGCTGGTGTGCTGACCGGCCATGAGAAGGGCAATCATCATACCAGAGACCTCATCCGTAGTCAGGTGGCGACCGTCTTCCACGTTCTTGTAGGGGGTCGTCATGAACGTGTGCATCAAATCAGTCCTTGAAGCAGAGGAGGAGGGATGGGTAAGTGAGGGCGGCAACAGGAGCAGGAGTTTTGTATTGGTGATGAAACTGTGAGAACGAGCGCGAGCGCAAAAGCCACGCACTGGGTGCCTTCCTCAGCCTTTTGGCGACGACGGTCAATGATCTTGTAGAAGCGCTCCTTGAGCTCGCGATGAGCACGGTCACGGCGACGGAAGCTGGGGAGGGGCAACCAAGGAGGGAAAAACCAAGCTTGGGGGGTAAAACCACCATCCAGCGCGTGATACAGCTTGGCAACCTGTTTTGCGTGGGCCGCGTGCAGGAAAACGGATAAGCGAGAAGGAAGATGACCGGGGATATCAAGATGTGTAGTTTTGTAGACAAAAAAAAAATGGGGGGGGGGGGGGGGGGGGGGAAAAAA